CAAAACGCACGCGCTCCACGCAATAATACGCGCACACACACGCAACACACCAATTACACTACCACATGCAAACATACTCACTACACTTACAAAATTTACTTAAAACGCAGGGATATTGAGACTTTAAAATCTTAGAGTTCATTAGTTGAACTTAAAGCTCAGCAGCAATTCGAGCTGCTTCAGTTTTCTTTGTAATCATTTTTTTATTTTTCAAAACACATCATTCAATCGTACATTTTTTCTCATTTTTACGCTCCGCACATACCGTTTCACTCATAAAATTTCTTGAAATCCACTCAACACACCATCACTACTCGCACTACTCACAGGCTACAACAACACTTGCCTCGAAAATATCGAATTCACGTGCCAAAATGGCGATTGCATACCGATCGAGAGCGTTTGCGACGGCACTGCCGATTGTACGCGCCGCGAAGACGAAGACTACAATTTGTGCACCTGCAGCAGCGACAAGGTAAGTTGAATGTTATTGGATAAGTCGCGCTCTGCCTCATACTCTCTCTCTCTCTCTTGCTCGCTCCCTCATGCAGTTTAACGCATGCGTGAGTCAGTGAGATTGAGTATGAGTGAGAGCGCTAGCTCAAGCTGGCAAGAAACGCGCGCACGTGCATTGGGCAAACATTAGCGCCATTAAGTGAAAATTTAAACTTTTACAAAAATTTGGCATGCATTATTTATAATAAACTGTTATTGAATGCATGTAGTGGAAATGTTTGCGCGGCGGCGGTTGCATACCAAAAACGCAAGTCTGCGATGGCAAACGGCAGTGCAAGGATGGCAGCGACGAGAGTATTTGCCGTAAGTATTTTTAATGATATACAGANTTTTTTTTTTTAGTGTACATACCTATGTATGTATGTATATATGATGTATGTTTATTGAGAATTTTAAAATAATTTTTAATATTTTTGTATGAAAATTATAGTTTGCATGCGCATGACTGATTACTGTATTACTATAAACCAAAGTATTTTAGGCAGTGTACTTTGTCCCCAAACTAGAACTTAGTAGTGACTTAACCTTACTTAGTTAATTAAATGTTAATTTTTTCAGTATATACTCACAAATACCTAAATTTGATTTAACAAACGAACTAATCTAGTTTATTAACACTGAAGTAAAAAATGATAACTTTATTTAACTTTTAAGCGATAATGTTAATGTGTAGAATTATCTACTGTATCCGAATATATTTTATATTTATCCGGATCCTGGAGATTAGTGTACATGATAATCAAATAGAATGATATCCAAGTTGTTGAGATTCTTCACTTTTTCTGATCTATATAACCGAAAAATTCTTGGTCAATATTTTCGGCATACATATGTACATATACCTATAAGTTTAAGCCAGGGACCCGGACTTTTAAAACTTGTATAATAAAAGTCATTAAAAAATATTCCCGAACTTTTATTTTTTTAGTCCAGTAATAACAGTTAAGCTTGGCCAAATACTTTTTTAGGTCGACACAAGAGTCGTTTCCTTATAATAAACCAACCGCTTAGACAAATTAAACATATTTGGTATCAAATGAAAGCTTTCAAACTTAAATATCTAAACAAACATCATACCCATTTAAAAAATATTCCAATTAAAAATGTTTTCTAATTACCAAACAACAAATCTTGAGTCAGGTATATGAATTACTTTTGTATTAAATTATAAAAAATGTATATAAATAGTTGGCAACCTTTGTTTAAATTTTTCTATTTGTCTATTTCATTCCGCTTGCATTTGATACCAAATTTGTTAAATTTGGATAAGGGGTTTGTTTATAATTAGGAAGGACTTTTATTCCGGCCTTAAACAAAATTTTGCCAAGTTTAGTTGGGATCAAGTGAACATTGGTAACTTTCTTGTACGACAATATTTTGGCCCAGGCTTATATAGCATCGAAATAAAAAAACTGTTGTTTTCGGTCCCTGGTTTATGCAAGTAAAGGCCGTTTTCTCAAGTAGCTTTTAAAATGTATCTGCCCTTTAAACACAAATTTTGTTCTCAAACAATTTATTTAAGGGGCAGGGGAATTTTAAAAGCCGCTTGCGAAAAAGCCCCTGAACCATTTTATTCGCCTTTGAATCCTGCTGGCGATTACCTTATAACCTCTCCGTACAGACACGGGATATTTTATTTTTTATCCTCTTTCCCTTTATTTAATCCTCATCAACTTCTTGCTGAATTTTAGTCTCTATTCCACGGTTGTAAAATTTTGTATGTATTGTATCACTTTGCAATAACTTAACTACACACTTTATTTGCTCACTTTCACACCACAGCTATTCGTACTGCCACTAAGTTCAATCACTTGCTCGCATATTCACTAATTTATGCCCGCACTCGCTCATACACTCACTCCTCCGCTGCTTGACTCGCTCACTCATTCACTTACTCACTCGTATGCTCACTGGGTCGCTCTTTATTGTTTCACTTTCATATGTGTGGTTGTTATCCTTCATGTCACCATAACTCATTAACATCTTTTCACTATTTTTCCATTTCACTACTCATTTTGTTTTACTCATTCATTTATTATAGATTTTCATGCTAAGTATAATAAGACGCGCATTGCCAATGAATGCCTAAGCTTTCAATATCAATGCGCCGATGATATCTGCATTTCGGGCTACAAGCGTTGTAACGGCATTACCGATTGCGTTGATGGTTCCGATGAAATAAATTGCCCGTTGAATTACGATGATGCAAATTACGGTATAATCTGACTTTTCCAAATTTTCTAACTACAAAATTGAACCCTAACCGAAAAAAAAAAAATTATACCAATTTTTGTAAAAAGAAAAATTAACGCTTAACCCAGCATTTTATGCAAAAATCAGGCATTAGACCCAACAGCACAAATGATTGGTTCTTTTCTGAAAGTGGTTTAATTAAGGCCACAATGCACCAAAGCCCCGAGCCCAACGCTAAACTGATCGGAAGTGTTTTCGCTTCCTTTCTTTCTTAAACAAAAAAAAAACTAAGAAAAGCATGTTTTCAGTAATTTTTTTATCTCTTCGCATACATATCTTTTTTCATATCAATTATCACACTCGCACACCGTCACACATGAAACACACCACAACATTATTCTGCGACTCGCTCTCGGTTTTGTTTTGCCGCGCGTCAGATTTCGAACCGGATCCAGCGCTCAGTGAATGCGATATTTATGAATTCGAATGCGACTACTCGCAGTGCATACCGATCGATAAGCGCTGCGACGGTTATCCGGATTGCAATGATGAGACTGATGAATACGATTGCCCGCCGTTTACAGGTAAAGCTCCATAGGTCTACACAAGCTGGAGAATTTCGACTACCATGCACTGTGAAAACAATGAGCACATTTAACTACTCACCAAAAAGAGAAGGAAAAAATATTGAAAAATTTCAATGTCTAGTGTTTGACTCTAATTAGTTTGAATTCAAAATAACAACAACTTTTACCCGACTCGAGTGACAATCATTGGCTTTAGTGGGTATTATTTACGCCACTCAAAAAAATCGTTTCAAAAAAGTACATAATTTAATCCACTAAAACCCAAATTTCGAATTCAACTTCAACTTTAAACTCATAAAATTCGTACTATTTTTTTTCTTTTTTGATCAAGTTAAGTTTTTTTGTAAATATTCACATAAAATTCATAAAAAGTAGAATGGCCTTATTCATAAAAAGTTAAGTAGATTTTAAAAACTTTATCAAGTGACATTTTCATAAAAGTTGTCAATTTATAACGCATTTTAAGTCTTCTTAATTTTTTATGAATTTGAGTGCAAAAATTTTTAAAGTTCCCATCCTCCCAAAATGCATGCATTTTTTTATTAACAGACCCATAGTTATAATTTTTATTTTAGTTTTATTATTTTTTTCACTTTCATTCTTAACAAAATTGCATTCATTCATACCTTCACAGAGCATTGCCATGACAACGAATTCGAATGCGATCAGAATTATTGCATACTCCGCGATCAACAATGTAACGGTGTTGCCAATTGCAATGATGGAACCGACGAGCAAAATTGCACTCACTGTCGCGATAATGCTTTTCTGTAAGCGTTTGATTTTAATTAATGCGCTGCAATGTTTCATGGATAACGCTGAAAAATACATAGGCAGTTTTCGCATAATGACTGTCTTCTACTTAAAAGCACTTAAATCTTTCAAGAGCTTGAAAATCGTTAACCTCTATATTTATCAGAGCTTTCACCAAAATATTTAAAATATGCAGTCCAGTCTCTAGTTACACTTTATAACCATAAAAATTAAAGCATCCGAGAATGTTTTTCTTACATATATTTTAAGCTTCCACAAAATCAAAAAAATGCAATAAATAGTAGAAGAAAGTTGTAAAAAATTTCGGATTATAAAAAGCTCCAATTGAAATAGGAAACCTCATAGCTACCTTTATAGATTTCGTAAATTAAGGTTGTATAAGCTTTACCGATTCCCTTTAAAAGCTAATCTACATTTATTTACTCGTGTACTTTCACACACTGTACAATGAACGGCATGTAGTCTGATTCAGACAAAAAGAAAAACTTTCGCACTTAACATAAGCTTTCGCAAGTGCCTTCACTCAAAATCATACATAAAGTCCCCATATAACCTTTTAAGTTGACTTAATCGCGAGCTTTCACCATTACGACAAGCTTTCACATAAGCTTTCACCAAAATTCGTTGAAAAAATCTTAGCTAACTCAGTAAATCCATGAAATATTGCATGCCAGCTCCCGAAAAAAATAAGTTTCGTAAACAATTTTAAATGTTTCAACATCTCAACGTCTTTTAAACGCGCCACATCACCGTCACAACACCACATACCATAACTCTTACGAAAAAAATACATCACATCACATCAACACATTCACCACACAACTTGAAAACCATCTCATCAACACAATTACATACACGCCTACATGCCAATTGTGACAACAAAAAAATGTTACTTTTGTAACTGTCGTGCAGCTGCAACACTGGCGAATGCATTTTGCCTAAACTGCGATGCAATGGCCAGGCCGATTGCGTCGATGCCAGCGATGAGTTAAACTGCGGTAAGTGTTCAGCGTGAGTGACTCCTCGCCACCAGGTTCAGGCTGGGTCAGAAAACCCCACTCGGTATTTTGGTACAGCGACAAAAAAAAACAAGCTTTTTAAGTGTAGCTTTTGCAAAAACTATTTCCGGCGTTTCTTCTTGGCAGTAGTACAGTTTGAATTTCTTACAAAAGAATGTATACAAATTCTATAAGCGAATCACTCCCCGCCTCTTCTTTCCGCTTGCTTGTCCACACAAGTTTTTGCTTTGCATGCGATTCCTGCAATTTTAATGGGCATCCATTTCGCTATATCCATTAGCTTGTCAATTAATTTAGTTATACGTACGTAGTAGGTTTTAGTCTCAATATTTTCCTCTCCGTTTCTTATTTTACAAATCAATTATTGCACAACAATTTTTCTTGTACTCGTAAAACAATTTCATTCGATTTATGCAAACGCAACGCACACACATCGAATAACAACCACCACTACCACTTCATCTGTAAAATTTTTGAAATATTTGTTGATAATACTGCCATGCAACAGCACGACCGGGCAATGCGCGACCACCACCACCACCGCCAGCGCCGGCGCCAACAACACCAACGAGGATCGACTGCCCGCCACTGCAATTCCGCTGCAACGGCACCTGCGTCGACTGGAGTCTGCAATGTGACGGCAAAGTCGACTGCGACGACGAGTTCGACGAACGCGATTGCGATGGTAAAGAAGTGGCTTTAAAAGTGACTATCTCGAAAAAATTTAATGGTCAAAATTGCTATGCACCTAAGCTTCCAAAGCTCTACTAATTCTTTAGAACTTTTGCGAAATTACCTAATTCCTTGCTTTTTGGATACGGCTATCATATTTGCCCCTAATTTCGCCACCCCCTCCCCCCTAACCGAAGTGGAACCTGATTCCCGTATTCTTCCAAATAAACTTAAAATTTTTCATTTTGCCCACTACATTGATTGTCTCTCGTGAGCTTTTAAAATCTCCTAAAAATACTTGCGACCCCAAGGGCTTCCAAATTTCTTCAGAACAAAAAACTATGTTTTGACTTTCAGCTAAAAATCTATTTGAAACCTTGGCTTTCACGGGTATTCTTAAATAAATATTGTACAGTTTTAAAAATCTCATAATCATTATTTCTCGATCAACCAAAATTTTCTTTTTCAAAAATGGTGGCGGCTAGCTAGAGGATCCATAGATCCATATAAGATCTTTGGAAAGCTTATAAAAGCTTTGCCTTCCGGCAAAGTTTCGAACATAACTTATCTGAAGGTACTTGAGGCTTTAAATTCTCCAGCGATAAGTTAAAGGGCAAATGTTAGACATTTATTAAAGCTTTTTTTTAAATAAAAATTTAATTTGCAATGAAATGATACCTAAGTTTACCTGAGTTATTTGCAAGAGATTTGATTAAATTTCGGATAAGCAGTGTTTCGAGCTTTCAGATAGAGTTTCCAAATAGAATTAGCTGTCAACGCAGCTTTAATAATAAAAAGTCCAGCATTTGCAAAAACAAAACAGAACAAAAGTTCGAATATTTTAAAAAGCTTTTCAGGGCTTTAGGAACTCATATCCTAAAGAGCTTTCGTAAATGAGAGCTGGCCACTTTATAGTCACGAAGTTTTTTTGAGCTGCATAAATAAATGCACATCAATGACGACAGGACGGAGCTTTTGTACCGCATTTAAATTCTAAAGCAAGCTTGAAAAAGCTTTAGTTGCTAACTAACTTGCTCTCGCCAAGAAGAAAGCTTCTTCTCGCGAACTTGGCAGTAAATTCAATAGCTAAAATCTTCCTTGTTATCTGAAGATTTTCATTGCAATTTTATAACTCTCCTCAGCCACTACATTTGCATTAATTACGCTTTTCTATGGTCAGTTTGAAAAAAGCGTAAAAGCCCACGAAGGATAATAAAAGTTGTGAAAGAGCTTCCGCAAACCAACTTCAGAGCTTCCGAAAAAAGTGCCCTGAGTTATGCCTACCACGTGGATCCTTCCTCTCTCTCTCTCCTCCACTTCTTCCATTAACATGTCATTTTCTGCCGTTCATTTAAACTTTTTCATTTCATTTATGTTTAGTATTTATGTGCATACATATTTTTTAAATACTTTGTTTATTTGTTCTTTTGTTTGTTCAATTTCATATAAACCAACGCACATCACGTAATCACCTGTGGCCATTTTAAAAATTTATTTGTTTTTGTTTCGCATTTATCTCTGTGTTATCTGTGTTTCTGTGTGGAAATATGGTCTTTGTACAAAAAAAAAACTGCTAACAAAATTCATCAAACGCAATCACCAACAACATTCAATATAACAACACAACAACAAACATATGCACAATGTACAGTACATGAGAACGAAATAACATTGCCCATATCGAATAGGACTTGCCTCTCCTACCAGTGGCAATGCGACAACGCTCAGTGCATTAACAAAGATTATCTCTGCGACGGGCACGAGGATTGCACCGACGGATCAGATGAGACACGCAGACAGTGCCGAAAAGAGGGTAACAAAAAGTAGAAAAATAAATACCACTTTTTTATTAACGAAATCGCTCGAGGAAAATTTTGGCCGATAAAATACTTTGGAAAAACTTCCTTACTTAAATTAGTCGCTCTCCATGTCAGCTGTCCGCAAACACTATTACGTTTTTCTACTAAAATTAATTATTTTTGTAACTTTGAAGCCCATCTAATATAAAGTATATTTTGTATATGTTTATGTAGATATCTATGTATATTATGTTACCAGTGTTGCCACCTGCAATCATTAATCAAAACTGTTTCACTTGCAGCTCATTTCATTCAGCCGATATTAACTACTAATTCAAGACATTTTGCATTTATTTCTTTCCGATTCTCTTGCGATCGCTCGCTCGCTCTCTCTCCTCCTCCTCCTTCTGCTTGCTTGCATCGCTTCATCATGTTCTCAATCGTGTTTCACCATAATTTCCACCACTGGCTGCGCTTTTGATCATCACTTCATACCGGTAGAAGCCATTCGTCACTCACCCGAAGACTGTTCGTCGGATCAATTCTTCTGCGACGATGAGTGTCGTCACGGATCGATACGTTGTAACGGTTATAGCGATTGTACCGACGGCAGCGATGAGATAAACTGTTTGTCCTATCCACCAACACGACGACCGGTGCCCATCTACCCATGCCCCATACATACCTGCCCGAATGGCAAATGCTACTCGGAGAGCGAACGTTGCGATGGTTCGCGCGACTGCGACGATGGCGCTGATGAGGCAAATTGTAAGTGGACGCTGTTACCGAGCGCGAGTGTGTTTTTAAGGGGACCTGAGTCCGTGAGGAAATTCTTAAGCTACGTTTAGAGCTATCGTATGCACCAAATTTAAAATAGTTTTTCTTTGCTATTTACGAGATGAAGAAAGCACTTAAATTGGAATCGTATTACTTATATTGATTGGTGTTCAGCAAAAAAACAAGTATGCAAATGAAGTCGAAAGAAAATAGCGAGAGGACTTAGGCAAGGTTCAGTGGAAAAGAGTTTGAAAAGGGATTTGGGAAATATTCTGATATCCGAAAATTAAGAAAAGCCGAATAAATAATACCCAAAATTATTAAAACAAATTATCTCAAGATAGACTATTTCATTGGGTTCACAAACAATATTTTAACGATTAACTAGCCATAGACTTAGTTTGAGATCTTAGTTTTCAAGGCAAACTACTTATTTTTCAATTCAAAGTCAAGCCGTTTAACGTCACTTGAGTTTTTTAATAAAATTCCACAGATAAATACCATCAAGAGTACAAATCCGGATGCGAATATTTACTATATATACGATAAGTGGAACCATTATTTGTATCGGTAAATTTGTTAGTAAAAATCGATAATTATGTTTATCGACAAGAATTTAAAAAATAATGCAGCTGAATTATACTTTAGGAATGACTATTTAGATAACATTAGAGGCTTGTAGCAAATAAGGCATTGAAGTGAATTTTGAAATACTTAACCTCGAAGATAAATATTTAATTCGGAAAAATTTCAAATCAGTACAGAATTCGCGGGAGTTCCGACACGATTTACTGAAAACAGCTTTAGAACATTTTTCATTACGTCAATTAACTTCAGAGACTACTTTAAATGGTTTGAATTATTTTTAGGTTAGATTAGATAAAATTAGGAGGTTTTCAGGTTAGGTTATTTTGAATCAGGTCAAAACAAGTTGAGTTAAGCTCGACTCGGCCAACATCAGTAGTTCTAAACAATAGTCTCAACTTGATCAGAAATAGGGTCAATACAAATAGTCTTGAACTAAGAAATAAACACAGCGCCACAACAGACAAGCATTTTTCTGCAGTGTACAAATGTGTTTAACCGACTTCATTTGCATTACCAAATTCCAAATTTCACCTCGCAGCACTTAAATTATATGCATTTATGTATTTATAAGCACATCATTTTATTTCATTTCTACATTTTTATGTATGTAGAAGGCTTTTTCGTTATTTTACAAGCACATTGTGATAAATAAGCTCTATCACCTACATATTGTTAAAAACAAAAAATGTTATGTCTATTGAATCTAGCTGCCTAATCGTCTCAAAATTAAGAAAGATTTAAGAGTGAAAATTAAAAAATTAGTTAATAGCAATTTTGTAATTTTTGTAAAAAATATTTAACCAGTAGCAGTTCAAGATATGAAAAATATATTTAATACAAACTCAAATAAAAAAAAATCGAATTTCAACTCATAAACCTTTCTAGATTTTTTGCTGCTCACGTTCGTTTACACTTTTAATAGCGCATTTCATTTATTTATGCTTCTTTCTGCAACATTAGAAATTTTTTTGCAACTTTTCTTATGCAATTCAAAAATTACTTTAATCCTCTGTAAGGCACCACCTGCAAGGAAAATGAGTTTCTCTGCTTTGATCGTCAGTACTGCATTAATGAGACGCAACATTGCGATGGATACTACGATTGCAAAGATTTCTCAGATGAGCAAAATTGCATTGGTTAATACAAAGCATTACTTTTGACTTAAATTTTGTTGGAATTTTCATAGCTAGTCTTTTTGATATTCTCGTCGTTGATGATTGATTTTGTTACATTCTTAGTCTATATGATTTAAGAAATATTTTTTAAGGTTATTTTTAATTTTATAAGATTCTACATTACCTTTAAGCTATGTACTTTTTAATTTAAACGCGGTTAAGTTTAGAAAAAAAAACCTATTTTTAGGCGCATGCAAACTCCAATTTTTGTTTCAACCCAACAAAAACCCTTATTACTTTACCTCCTCTCAGCACCTTACCCCAGCGCACGCTTTTTTATTTTTCCCCTTTGCCTATATGTATGTGCATATGTATTTAGCAATTTGTTTTTTAAGTCTACTCTTACCAACGTGTTATCCCTACCCATCCAGCAATTGTGCTTCCCACCACCATTTAAACTGAAAATAATTTCTTTCTCACTTTTTTCCATTCACTTTGCATCCCAAAAGGCTGTGCTGCCAATCAGTTCCGCTGCCGCAATGGCGATTGTGTCTCTGGCAGCGCTCATTGCAATGGTTACCGTGACTGTCGTGACGGCTCGGACGAAGAAGACTGTTCGGAGCCCAACTACGACGTGGGACGCACTTGCTCGGTTTCGCAGTTCCGTTGCAACAACGGACAGTGTATCAATGCGGCGGCGCGTTGTGATGGCTATACCGATTGTGCAGACAGCTCAGATGAACTTTCGTGCAGTGAGTATAAAAATTAAAAATCAAAGCTTTTTACACTACATTTTCATCTCAACTTGCTCATGCCTTCATACACATACACTCACTCATACACTTTCGAAAATCGCATATTCGACTCTTAGAATATCTGCGCGAACCTCAACTCGAATTTGAAGGAATCAGTAAAGCTTGCGGTCCGCTAATGTTCCGTTGTGAGAACGGTCCCTGCATACGCAATGCCTTGCGTTGTAACGGTGTTGTCGATTGTCCGCTCGATATTAGCGATGAGTTGGACTGCAGTCCGAGCTCCAATGAGATTGAGCGTAAGTTTCGTTTGAGTAGGTTTAGTAGAAAAAGACTAACAAACGCACGAGAAGCAGGTGGCAGTAGAAAAATGTATTACAAAGGAAAGATTTGAATTGGAATGGTGGGGGTTGAATTTTCAACTCTAAGACTAATAGCCAATAGGCCGCACTCTGCTGTGGTGACCGCCAGCACTGGAAATAAACCCACTCCGAAAACCAGACTAAGAAAAAAATTAAAAAGAACTCTGCAATATCACTCGAATCACTCCCACACTCACTCTACTACTCAATCAACATATAGTTAAATGCTCACACTACTTACTCACTCATTAGGCCTCACGTATATAAAGTGAGCTTAAGCTCTTACTCGATTTTCAGTACAAATGCTTGTGCCAGTGCGAAAATTAGGTCTGAGGTTAAGCTCATTTTTTATGCACGAGACCCATTGCCCTACTCTAAGACTCAATTTTAGCCACTCACCTCCTCTTGTACTCACTATCAAGCTTCCTCAATCCTGCCTCACTCACACTACTACTCAGTTTTTTACTCAATGAAACCTTCATCCCTACACCCTCTCCTACTTGCTTACTCATTGGTTTACTATATCACTCAATTTTAGTCACTCACTTCCCCTTCTACTCACTCACATGCTCATTATCGTACTCCTCAATCATTCACCTCTCTTATTCACCTACTCACTCGTTATTTAACCGTCCTATTCCCTCACTCCTCCTGCACTCACTCCCTCTCTAACTCTCTCACTCTTGAGAAACATACTTTCCTTAAACAATTTTTTACGTGCTTCAACATCTTTTATAATTAATTCTAACTCATTTCTCACAGGAGTTCCTGACACATCATCAAACCCACAACTGAACCTGAAGACCTACCCTGACAGCCAAATCATCAAAGAAAGTAAGTACCCTAACTGCCGTTTGTGCAAAATGACTACTTTTTCAACATTTACTGCTCATAAGAAATTTCTTCAAAAATCGAAGTGTCGCTGGCGGGAAGGTTCCCCAACTACAGGCGAAAGTTCGATGCTGGAAACCTTCCCGGTAACGACACCTTCCACTTTACTGTATACTGCGTTCATTTAGCTTTGAAATAACTTTGATTTTTTATGCTATATTCCGCTTCTATTCCCCTAATTCGTACTTAATTAAAAAAAATATATAAAAACAAATCTACACAGGATATATTAAGGAGGGTAAGTCGGTTATTTATTTCTTTCAAATACTCATTTTGTATGAGTTCCTCTCTCCGAGTGCCCATCGCACGAAAAAGCAACCTCAATGGAATGCAAATGCACTCGATTTGTTGTAAATACAATTTTATACACCCATATACTTCATATATGTACATATATGAGCTATCTTTAATCGCCTACCCCAAAAATGCAACGCTATTCCCGAACTTAATAATCGTTACACCCAAAAAATATACTCCCACTTTGTATGATATCAAAAATATATGAAATCAACACAATCGCACCGAATGCCAAACACCTTCTCGCCTTCGCCTAGCAAATCTAGTTTCCTAATATCTCTCTCATTTACGCGCTTCGTTTAGGTCGTGAAGTCATCTTCCGTTGTCGTGACGAAGGTCCAGTTCGCGCTCGTGTCAAGTGGACCCGCCCTGGTGGTCGGCCGCTTCCAATCGGCTCGCGTGATAACGGGGACGGCCGTCTGGAGATCCCGAACATTCGCGTAAGTACCGAAATATTTATAACTTCTACTTTTATTAGAGTTTTTTGGTGCGTAATTAATTTCATTTTATTTTCTCTAAAGGTTGAGGACTCTGGTCAGTACATCTGTGAAGCTGCTGGCTATCCGCGCCATGTGTCTGGACAGCAAGTCACCGTACATCTGACCGTCGAGAAATGTAAGTAACTTTGGCTCGTAGTATTTTATCTTGTATCGCAATGAAAAGTAATTTTGAAATCCCCTACTAACAAACGGACGCAGCGTGGAATGATAACAAATACCACAGCTCCTCCCATAAAATCAAATACGGCACTGTGCCACACATAGGTCCAGAATTTTTCGGACTAGGTATACTCAAGTCTTTACTGAATATTTTCAATAGCAAGCCATTCTCAATTTTATCAATGTTTTTTCGCACTAACCCTTATATTTCTTAAAATGGACTAAACGTTCCAAAATATTGCGCCCGGTAAAAATAAATCCCACATTATTTACTTGTCGAGCAAACTGATAAAACTAACTATCTCTCTCACACCACCCTCACAGCCAACCCTATCAACGATCGCCCGCCCACAGCTTGCCGCGCCAACCAAGCTACCTGCCGCAACAACGAATGTATTGACAAGTCGCAGATCTGTGACGGCATTCCGCACTGCTCGGACGGCTCCGATGAGGAAAGCTGTAGCCACGGTCTCAAGTGCCAGCCCAATCAGTTCATGTGCCGCAACTCGCGCTGTATCGACCGCATCTGGCGTTGTGACGGAGAAGACGATTGCTTCGACAACTCCGATGAAGACAGCTGTGATCCCGAACCCAGTGGCGCGCCTTGTCGCTACGACGAGTTCCAGTGCCGCAGCGGTCATTGCATTCCAAAGAACTTCCAGTGCGACGATACGAATGATTGTATCGATGGCACCGATGAAATCGGTTGCAGTAAGTCCATGATACGTACACGATTTAATGCATTTAATAACCTTACTTTTTTTTAGTGGCCCCTGCGCCAATTCGCCCACCACCGCCACATATTCGTCTGCAACAAGGCGAGCCATTGAATCTCACCTGCGTGGGCACCGGTGTGCCAGTGCCACTGATCGTCTGGCGTCTAAACTGGGGTCACGTTCCCGAGAAGTGTACCTCTAAGAGCTATGCCGGTACGGGTACGCTCTACTGCCCCAACATGGATACCCAGGATCAAGGTGCCTACTCCTGCGAAATACTCAACTCGAAGGGACGCAACTTCGTTACACCAGATACCCAGGTGACCGTTGATGCACCATCCCGTGTGGATGTTTGCCCTGCTGGTTTCTTCAACATGCTTGCCCGCCGCCAGGACGAATGTATCAGCTGCTTCTGCTTCGGTATTTCGAAGAACTGCAAGAGCGCTAATCTCTTCAACTTTGCCATCCAACCGCCAATCACATCGCACAAAGTCAAGAACGTTGAGTTGAACCCGTACAGCGATATTATCATCAACGATGTGGCGTCACCTAATATCCTCAGTCGCCATCACGGCGTGCAGTTCCGCGTATCCGATGTGGGCTACAACAGCCGCGAGCAGCCATACTTGGCGCTGCCAAACGACTACATGGGCAACCAACTGAAATCTTATGGCGGCTATCTGCGCTACGAGGTTAACTACATGGGCAACGGACGTGGCAACCAGGCACCGGATGTCATAATCACAGGCAACGGCTTTACGCTCACCCACCGCGCACGTAACCAACCAGAGCCGAACGTAAACAACAAGATCTCAGTGCCATTCAGCGCCGGCAACTGGTACAAGACGGACGGCCGTCGTGCCACACGCGAGGAGGTCATGATGGTTTTGGCTAATGTGGACAACATACTCATCCGCTTAAGCTACATCGACGCAACGGAACGAGAGGTGGAGCTTACCAACATCGTTATGGACTCAGCAGGGCTTGAAGATCAAGGCTTGGGCTCAACGTCACTGGTGGAGAAGTGTACCTGCCCACCCGGCTATGTAGGTGACTCCTGCGAATCGTGCGCGCCTGGCTATGTGCGTGAGAAATACGGACCTTGGCTGGGTCGCTGCGTGCCTTTTGTGCCGGAACCTTGCCAGCCTGGCACCTATGGTGACCCTGCTCGTGGCATACCATGCCGTCAATGTCCATGCCCACAAACTGGCGCCAACAACTTTGCGAACGGCTGTCAACTCAGCCCTGATGGCGACGTTACCTGCAACTGCTACGAGGGTTACACCGGCAGGCGCTGTGAGCTCTGCGCACCTGGCTACCAGGGTAACCCACTGATCCCAGGAGGCAGCTGCCATCGCATACCAGAGAGCACATGCAACGCCGAAGGCACTTACTATCCGCACCCGAACGGCACGTGCGAGTGCAAGCCGCTTGTGGTTGGCCCCCGTTGCGACACTTGCGCACCCGAATCCTTCCACTTGAACGCCTTCACCTACACCGGCTGCATTGAGTGCTTCTGCAGTGGCCTGACAAAGCAATGTTCCAGCAGCAGCTGGTACCGCGACCAGGTCTCTTCGAACTTCGGACGCTCACGCGCACCTCACGGCTTCAACCTTATTCGCGACTATGAAACCCAACAACCAACTCAAGTCAGCTTCCAACAGGCCAACAGTGCGCTACAATTCAGCCAACAATCAACCTCTGATCCGCTATATTGGAGCCTGCCAGCGCCATTCCTTGGTGACAAGATCACTGCCTATGGCGGCAAACTCTCCTACAATCTCAGCTACAACCCACTGCCAGGCGGGCTTATGTCCCGCAACAATGCACCCGACGTGGTTATCAAGAGTGTAAGTATTTGCTGGAGTAGTATGCTCTAGAGCTTTTTTAATACCTTTTCCACCTCTTGCAGGGTGAAGATTTGACAATCATTCACTACCGCAAAGCCGGCGTGAATCCCAACCAACCGAGCTCATACTCCGTGCCGATTATCGAAAGCGCATGGCAGCGTTCCGACGGGCAAGTAGTCAATCGCGAACACTTGTTGATGGCGCTTTCGAAAATCGATGCGATCTACATCAAGGCCACCTACACCACCAGCACAAAGGACGGGCAGTTAACACATGTCTCGTTGGATATTGCCACGCAGAACAACATTGGGACGCAGCGCGCCTTTGAAGTGGAAGAGTGCCGCTGCCCCATTGGCTATATTGGCTTGTCCTGCGAGCGCTGTGCACCTGGCTACAAACGGGATACTGAAGCCGGACTCTATTTGGGCGTTTGCGAGCCCTGCGAATGCAATGGTCATTCGAGTCAGTGTGATGCTGAAACCGGCGTTTGCTTGGTAAGTTTCTAATGCCTCTTTCGAGCAGAGAAATCAGATACATATTGTACCCAAACTAATTCTTCCCTATCATAGAACTGCGCACACAACACGGCTGGTGAATTCTGCGATCGCTGCGCGCCCGGCTACGTAGGCAACGCGTCCGGTGGCACACCATACGACTGCTCGCCTGATATCGGCGAACCCAGCCCCTACCCACCACCAGCACCTGGCAATCAGACCCAGTGCAGCTACTGCAATCGCGATGGAACTGTCTCTTGTGATGGCGGCTACTGCGAATGCAAGCCCAATGTTGTGGGCCAATACTGCGAACAATGCCGACCGGGCACTTACGGTCTTTCCGAGCGCAACCCCGACGGCTGCGAGGAATGCTATTGCTCTGGCAAGAGCACACGCTGCAACTCGGCTTCGTTGTTCCGCCAACTCATTCCAGTTGACTTCATCAGCAACCAACCGCTGATCACAGACAGCGACGGCAATATTGTGGACACCGAAAACTTGAGCTTCGACTTACCCACCAACATGTACACCTACAACTTCCAATCGTACACCGAGAAGTACTGGAGCCTGCGTGGCTCTGTGCTGGGCAACCAACTGTACTCATATGGCGGACATTTGTCCTACACACTTGATGTAGACACCACCTCGTATGGCCGCTCTGAGGCCGGCAGTGATGTCATACTCATTGGTAATGGCATGAAATTGCTCTGGTCCCGGCCCGTGGAGGAGCAAGGCAGCACCGAATACCGCGTGCGCTTGCACGAAGATGAAAACTGGTTGCGCAATGAGCGCGGTCACTCAGTTCGCGCCTCGCGGCTAGACATAATGGGCGTACTGGCCAATTTGGAGCACGTACTGATACGCGGCACAACGAAAATACCCACCACACGCACTAGCATAAGGGACGTCATTCTCGAATCGGCGGTCGAGCATCGCACACCCGACGCACAACTGGCCATCGAAGTAGAGGTCTGCACCTGCCCGGCCGGCTACACCGGCAACTCGTGCGAAAAGTGCGAACCTCTGCACTACAAGGACAACTATGGCAGCTGCGTGCCTTGCCCCTGCCGTGAAGACACCACCGTCGGCTGCAGTCTACTCAACAACGGCGAAGTGCTTTGCCAATGCCGACCAGGCTACGCCGGTCAACAATGCCAGATCGATGGTAAGTAGACGGGGTATGGTGGGCTGAAAGCAAACACACATATACAGACATTTAGCACGCAATATGATTGCTTGCTACATACATGCATACTTAAGTACATGAATAATCGTAACGAACGAGTCGAGTGTCGAGCGAGCTACGCTTGCGGCATGTGATCTAACACAGGCAAATGATTAACCCATTTCCGGCTGTCTGGCTTAGTGACGAAAGTGAAGGACACATTGCGCCACAGTTACATAAACGCGCTCACACACACACACACACACACTTAAGCACAACTGTACATGCATACATACATACTTATTATAGCTGCTTATGATGTCCTCTTTCTCTCTCTCTTCGCCACGATTCGCGTCCATAAGTCAATGCCAATAAAAGCGAAAGCTCTGAAAAGTCAACACTCATTGTCAAACCGGATAGTTTAGTGTGCGACCACAGCAGTTGCTGTAACGGCTTTGCCGTGGACCTCATGCCCAATGAGACCATCGCGCCCAATGAGACACTGCAGTTGTACAAAGGCAACCGAAAAGTAGGCAACATTACGAAATTGCGAGACGACTGCAATCGGCGAGGTTCGCACACTCACGTTTTTAATCGTTAAGCGTTCGCTCTCAGTAGCTCTTAACGTAGTTTCTTTGTCTATCCATTTAGTAGCGTTTCGTGTTGGATCGAAGTGATAGATTTCCCCTTAAAAAAAAAACACAAAGCTATGTTTCGGGTTAATTCCTACTGTTTTGAAAAATTAGAATAAAAATTTGAAATTTTCACTATTAATATTATTAAGAATTAAAAAAAAAAAATTTGGCATACTCGTAATTAGTATTTTTATCTATGAATGTTTCCTCCTCTTGTTGGACTACCAGTAGGTTGCAGTGGGCTACCTTTTAGTAGTGCCCGGTATCCGAATTCGACTTTACCGCCGTTCTACAACACTTCGTTTAGATATTTTAATTAGTTAGTTGTGTTATTGGTAACTCTGAACGTATCTACTCGTAGACTCGCCTTAGTACGTGTTCAATGTGTTCTATGAAATCCCCAACGAAATACATACATACATACATACAAACATTTTACATACATAGGTATAGTTTTTATGTACTAAAAAGGAAATTAGCCCCGTAAACTCCGCGTGTCTGTAGACAGCAAACGCATACACAAAAACAAAAATAACAATCAACAAATACCAACTACCAATCCGGCTAATCCCGTAGTGATTTTTTAACAAATATTTTCACTCAAACACGCTTACATCAACTGCGTACATAGCAATACGATCAAAACGAGTTGCTAGTCGTTTTAGAATAACACAAATAGAGGAGCTACTCACAAATATTTAATCAGTTCTTTTCATCTTAGCTGCGCTAATCTTCTAACAGTTCCTGCGTTAAGAATTTTGAAATGTTCAAGCTTTAGAATTTCTTTAAAAAAGTTGCTTTGTTTAACAGTAGCATGGTTATAATTTTTGAAATAGAATGATGGATGGAAGCGAAGGATTCGAAAACAAAATGCCAGAGAAAAATATTAAAAATCAATATCGATAAGTCGATAGTTTTAATGCTTTTATTTGTTTTAATATAAAACTTTACAATTTTACAAAAACTTTTCTGTCTTTATTTATTAAACTACTATTTTTTAAATCAGTTACTTTCTTAATTTTCGGTTTATATTTTATGTTAGTTTTAGTTTTCTTTCAATTTAAAATTTCATAAGATAATTTTTATTTTTTCTCAGAATTTCTATTTTTATGTGATTTTTTTTAATCTTTATTTAATTTTATTTTTTTATTTACTTGCGTTTTTTAAACTTCTTTTAGTTTGTTGTATCCTTATTTTATTGTCTTTAATTTTATTTTGTTTTATTGAATGTGTTTTATTTTTTATTTTTATTTATTCCATGGCATTCTGGCATTTGTGTATCTTTTCTTATAATCTTAGCTCCAAACCATCAAACGTTACTAATCTACATACTTACATACATTCATATTTTTTTATGATTTAGTTGGTTCGTGAGAACGGCGACAGGAGTGCAGAGAATTTTTCCTTTGCATCTTTGTTGATCCGTTATCATGCAACCCTTTCATTGAATTTGTTACTTCAATCCCTAAATCTTATTTATCAAAATAATCATATTTGTTACCGCTTCAACGCTATAGAAGACTACGACCGCCCGCCACAGCCCCCATCCACGCCCGTCCCACCGCCAGACTATCAAACACAAATTACCGTCTCGATAGCGCCACCAGAGATCACTATTATACCGATTGGTGGCTCCTTGACTTTGTCCTGTACCGGCCGAATGACCTGGAGCAATGTAAGTGACTGGGGATTTACTGTGCGTCGTCATTGCCCAGCATGCGCTGAATTCTCCTCTATTTTCCATTCCTAGGTGCCCGTTTTCGTGTCTTGGTTCAAGCAGAATGGACGCCTACCCTATGGTGCTGAGGAAGATGGTGGCGTTTTGCGCTTATATGACCTGCAAATCTACGACTCCGGTGTGTATATCTGCCGCTCGGTGAACAATCAGACGAAACGCGTTTTCGAAGACCAAATTTCCATCACAATTACAGGTGAGTGAGCAAAAAATTTAAGTGCAAACAAAGAACTGTGATATTTGCAAACATTTTCTCTAACACGCTCATAAAAATGGCCGCAGCGTATGCCAGTGAAATGTTGGCCCGTTACGGTAATGCAGCTGCATTTTCTCTCTACTCCCATATACTTCTGTTTTTTCTGCTTCACCAAACCTTCGTTTTAGCTATTTTCTAATGTCTTCTTTCCTTTTCGTCCCCTATTCAGAGGATTCCCAACGCACACCGTCACAGATCATCAACCTCCCACAAGTTGTCTCGTTCGAGGAGTACCAGCCCAACGAGATCAACTGCGAAGTGGACGGTCATCCCACGCCAACAGTCACGTGGACGCGCGTCGACGGCCAAATGTCACTGGAAGCGCACACCGACGGCTCTCGTCTGATCTTCGATGCACCACGCAAGTCGGACGAAGGCAGATATCGCTGCCAGGCCACGAACGAGAACGGCATCGATGAGAAGTACACGCAAGTGTACGTGCGCATCGCCCCACCCCTACCACCACCACCGCCACGCGAACTCGTCTACATCGAACCGCCATCGTACACCGGCGAAACGGGCGATAACGTGCGCCTCACCTGCCAGCCAACCACCTCTATCCTGCTCGTCTACGAGTGGAACAAAGACGGCTACCCACTCTACCGCCAACGCAACATCATCATTAGCGGCAATTCGATTGAGATCCGCGAGTCCACGCCACGCGACTCCGGCGTCTACACTTGCATCGGCATCGATCAGCGCGGACGACGCAACTACACCAATGATGCACAGGTTGTGATCGAGGATAGTTCATATCCGTTACCAGGGCCGCAGCCAGGACCCCAGCCGGGCACGTAAGTGACGCAGTGTATAAGCTTTTCCAGTTACTGTAAATTCTACTCGAAATTATAGCATTGCGCCAGTTGTAAAACGCTTGCCANACCTCAGCCAGGACCCCAGCCGGGCACGTAAGTGATGCTGCAGTGTATATATATAAGGTTTTTCAGTTACTTTAAATTCTACTCGAAATTATAGCATTGCGCCAGTTGTAAAACGCTTGCCAGATGAAAACCACATCGTCCAAGGACAAGATTTCACCCTAACATGCGATGCCACCGGCTCGCCCTACCCCACCATCAAATGGACTAAGGTGAGTTGTTGACCTACGGCATGCGCCGCTTTCCACAATCTCATGCTTCTTCCGTTGCAGGTTCACGAGGCCCTCGCCGACAACGTGCAGCAAACCGGTAATGTCTTGCGTATCATAAATGCGCGGCCTGAGAACCGCGGCATGTATCTGTGTATAGCCGAGAATGTTGCTGGCTCTCATGAATCCAACACTATTATCGATGTTGAACGTAAGTACCAAGTTGAATTAGGGACCAAATTAATACACAAATCCTACCACCAAAAACTGGCTGTACCACTCCGTAACACGCCACAATTCAGTCCTACAAATTACGAAACTCAATTAGCGCCTAGCCACCACCTACACATTGCCCGTAGCCGGTAAAAAGAATTGCGTGAACTAAACTAATTTGTCTTTTTATACGATTTCTTTCTCTCTCTTTCCCCCTTCGCCTAATTGTTTATGAAATTATTGGCAACATTTTAAATTTTTTCCCCACTTTTCTTTCCATTGCATTAATTGTATTTTTTTACAAAATGCAAGTTTACAAGAAAGGAGTCGGTAATAAGAACGTCCCCAACCACTTGCTCCTTATACTAATCTGTACAACAACAATGATTTACTTGCTTGCAGCACGTGAAAGACCAACCGTCGATATCCATCCGCCCGAGCCGCAAACGGTGAATGTAGGCACCGAGGCGATGCTTTACTGCAGTGCCAATGGCATACCCGAGCCTAGCGTACAGTGGCGTCGCGTTGACGGCAAACCATTGTCACCACGCTGCAGGGAAATCAGCGCCGGTTACATAATGTAAGTAGACCGCCTCCCAGCCTATCAACCGCGCAAGCTAAGCCTCCAATTATCTCCTCATAGCATCGGCGATATTCAAGTAGAGGACTCTGGCGATTATGAGTGCGTTGCCCAGAACGACGTTGGACGTGTAGCTGAGGTGCAAACCGTACGCGTTTTGGTACCTCCGGAGATAACACTGGAACCAAGCGATGAAGTGCTCAGCTTAACCGAAGGTGACGAACTCAAAGTGATCTGCACGGCCACTGGCGTGCCCAGCCCAAATGTGCAGTGGGTTGATGACAGCGCCGATCAACGCGGCTTGATCCCGGCCAGCACGCAGTTCAACCAGGCCTTCTTGGAGAAATACCGCATCGATCGCAATGACGCCAAGTCCTACAAGTGCATAGCAAGCAACGAAGCTGGCACCGCGGAGAGCTACGTCACCGTGGATGTACGTCCGCGCCGTGGCGATGCGTCAAGTGAGTAGTGTAATGAGAAGCAGAGCTGCGAATGTTAATCACACGCTGCTGCTCTCGCAAAATGTTTGCAGTTTTGTTGTTGTAATTTTGCTTGATACTTGCATGTCTTGCGCAGCGATCTCTTTAAGCGGCGCAAATAGTAATGGTAGTACTAGAGCAAGTTGTGTTCCTTCCGCGTTTCCAACGAACGTTTTATAAGCAAATATTTCTTTATTTCATTCCGCACAGACGACAGCGATGTGCTACGCAACCCATCATACCCATATCCATACCAACCACAACCGCAGCCGCAGCCACAGCCACAGCCAACGCAACTATATCCACAGCGTCAGCCCTCCTACGGACCGCCACAGAATATTTATCGTGCCAATGNTTTTTCCGCGTTTCCAACGAACGTTTTATAAGCAAATATTTCTTTATTTCACAGACGACAGCGATGTGCTACGCAACCCATCATACCCATATCCATACCAACCACAACCGCAGCCGCAGCCACAGCCACAGCCAACGCAACTATATCCACAGCGTCAGCCCTCCTACGGACCGCCACAGAATATTTATCGTGCCAATGAGGGCGATGCCGTCACACTCACCTGCGATCTACGTAAGTATAGCGCCGAAAAGCGCTACTGCCGAATTCTATTTGAACACTATTTCTCCTTGTTGCAGATAATGGACCGAACTTGTCAACGCGTTGGGAACGCGTCGATGGGCGCCCTCTGCCAGATAATTCATACTTCGACCAAAACAGCTTGATCATCACGCGTGTCGAGGAGCAGAACAGCGGCAAGTACCGCTGCAATGCGTTGGACAACCGTGGCGCTGTAGTAACGTTCGTAATTGCCGAGCTGGTGCTAGTGCCCATTCCACACATCACATTCCACCCGAAGATGCCCATTGTGGTGGCACCCAACGACAACATCGACATCTACTGTGAAGTGACAGGCGAGCAGCCCATTGACGTCGCCTGGCATACGGACAACAACCGCCCGCTCACCGAGTAAGTTTCCTATCATAAGTGCTTTCAGTAGCTTAAGCTCAATTAGGAGGCTAACCGCGCACCATTTCACCTCCAACCATCCAACCGGGTGCTCATCAAACACTTTCACTATGCTATTCTCTATATAATGGTATGTATCTTAATCTAACCCAACTCAGCTCGGTACGCATTGATGGTCAGTACCTGCGCTTCGTCTCCATCACTCCCGCCGATGCGGGCCGCTACTACTGCTCAGCCTCAAATCGCTATGGCAATACTACGAACATGGCCGAGGTGGTCGTGAATCGCAACGGCGCCTATCGGCCAGCACCACGCGCTCAAGTATACGACATTCGCGAAGGTGAAGATGTGACGCTACAGTGCGATGTGCAGAGCGCACGCGAGCCTATACGCGGTGAAATAAGAGTAAGTAGTTATGTATATTTGCGCCAGTTCTTGCTTTTATTCGCTCTTTAATACCAACCTCTAATGTCGCATCCTCTCTCTTCCGTAGTATGAATGGCGTCGCCAAGATGGTCGTCCATTGCCACGCAACGCCCTGATACGTGACCAACGACTCTACCTACGCGGCGTTCTAAAACAGGATGAGGGCCGCTACGTCTGTGAATCCTACTCGACTGGCGGTGGCCGCTCACAGCCATCCTTTGTCGATCTGAATATCAAGCGTGAGTATTCTCCCTATCCTTCTCCCTACTATGGAAACGAAAATCGCAGAAGGCGACGTTACAATGTCCACCGCAGGCATTGATTGCAAGAAAGGAAAATTATTTAAAAAAAAATTTAAACAGTTTACCAAAAAAAAAAAGAAAATCACTAACAAGGAGCTAATTATGAAATTCACATTTGAGCATTAAGTTGAAGAAAAAAATTTGCAAGAAAATGCAAAGAAAAATGAACAAAGTTAGACGTACATATTTTATACCAAAAAAAAAACAACGTTTCTTGCTAACACATTTTTAATGAAAACTACTTTTTATATATATTTACGATTTACTATTAATTTACCAACAAAACAAAAAATCAATGACAACTTTTGAATAGCAATTGGGCATGTTCAAGACGAAATTCGCAATGTGAGCCAAATTTCCACCACTGATTTTTCTTATTTAGCTGTTTGCCCCCGATTTAGTGCCACCCCTGTTTTAACTCCGTTATATTTACTTACATATTTACCTAATTTTATAGCTTTTATAGTTAGTTGACCAACTACACACACCGCCCTTGTAGGCAAAAACTCCCCCAATTCTAACCGTTTGCTAATTACATTGTTGTACAAAATTTTTAAAAATTCTAATACACCAAAAAAAACTAAAATACGTAGGCAACCTTATTCCATTTTGTAAATAGCATTAACCGAATAAGTATGCAGCCAAAAATGTCCCAACAAGAAATCATAATTTTTGTATATATTTTGTATAATAGAATTTGTTAGTTTTGTAAATTTGAATCTATTATTTGGTGGCGGGAAATTTCCCATATTCAAAATCAAAACGCAAAAGCACGCGCAGTTTCACATCTCAGACACAAATACACTCGCAAAACAGCCGAGACACGCACCCCGTGTACGAATTTCGAAGCGCTCACAAAATGTTCAGCGAATTTTCGTAGCGAAAAATAAGAACAAAAAAAAAAAATACCAAGAACCCCTTTCTTCACCGTAGTATTTAATTTTAACAATTTAATACATCTAATTAATGTTATTATTAGAAAAGAAATTAAAACGATAATTGCCGCGCAAAAAAGCATAAATTTGCATGCCAAAGTTTTACGAATGAATATTCAATACTGCCCATGCATCCACTGGGATCGCAGAACACCGCCGCCGCCCAGTTATCCTTGAATATCCCCACACATCCGTATCCATGACCGTTTTATATTTAAACCCCCAAAATACCCAAAAATCCAGTTTATTTTTAAGTAAAATTTTTGTTTAACTGCCTTTCGATGGAAATTTATTTTTTATTGTCAAAACACTCTATGTTGTTTGTGTTAATTTATCTTAATCGTAATTTTAATGTCAAATGCAACAACTACAACAACTGGCTGCCACTGAATATATTTTGATAATAATTTGATAATTAAGTTAAAGAAAATGAAAAAAACGAAAAGAAAATAAAACGAATAAATATACAGAATTTATTAACAATTCCACCTCTTTTTGATGAATTATTAATTTGTCCTTCAAATTATGCTGTACCGCTATGCAGGCTTCCGATGTGTGCGCGTCGCGTTCCTTACGTAAGCTTCGAGTTTGAAAAACTTGCGCTCAATTGTAAGCAAACACCACTTTTGAGCGCGCTTTTTGAAGCTCTCTTTGTGGCTTGGTGTTTTCGGCACGCGGCCGCATACATTTTTGTTTTGCTTTTTATTTGCCAACGCTTTTAGTGTTTATTGTTTTTTTTTTCGCTGCTTTTTTCGCTTTGCCTGCCAAGTAGCTTTAATTTTGGTAGCGTATAATTTATTTCAGCAAATATCTATCGACAAATTTTGGTTGTGGATTTTCAAAACCTTCACTCCCCAAACTCCTACTCATCATCAGTGTTTTTTTTCGTGTTGTTTTCGCCTCTTCGCACTCCACAATCCATGCTACTGCATATCTATCAGTGTTGTACTACTATATTCATTTAAAAATTGTTTTTTTTTTTTTTTTTTTTTTTTTTATATACACTTTTCGTCTTTCGACCGTTTATTCAATAAATTCGCTGTTGCAAAACTTTTTTCGCTACATATTTCCCTCTGCGCATATATTCGTGTTCTTCCAATTTTCCACTGCACAGATTACACACATACACATATTGACACATACACTTCTACATTTCTATGCAGCTTTTATTTTGAGCAGCAAGCAACAAATATTTTCAAACTTATTTTACAATTTTCAATTTTTTTTTTTCAAAACTGCTGCGTGTTTCACATTTCATTATTGCATGGTTAGCATTGGCTTTGTATGTATGTATGTACATATGTAGAATAGAATCACGAGTATCCTGTCATTTTTCCTTCCCGTTTCATGCTACTTCTTTCTACAATTACTAACTAAACAGAATTTCCCCAAAACACGCATTCAAAACTTTTGTTTAAATTACAAAGCTTCGAAAGCTCGCCGAAACAGTTATCACATGAGAAGTTTTTTCTCAGAAGGCAATTCAGGCAGGCTATTCCACTTAAAAGCTCTTAGTTAATTTTGAGCTTTCACTTCATAAGCGCAGACTCAGTGTAATTGTTGAGATTTAACTCTTTATTGTAGATATTAAATATTACGCAAGCATTTTTTTGGTTTTTAAGCTTCGTCTCATTTTTATTTTATATTTGAAATATCCACTACATATAAAATATTTAAGGCTAAAAAGCTCTTTCAAGCACGTCAATAAATTGATAACTTCTTTCAAAAGAGGAAAAAATAATTTAGCTCTTAATTGCCTTTGAAATATCCCGTTTTTTATAGTTGTCAGTGCAATTTTCCTCCACATTTTTGAAGGCTCAGATATACACGAAATTCCTCCTAGTAATTTCTAAATATTCTGAAAAACTTTAGAGCTTTCTGCGCTTAATGGTGAGCTTTATCAAACACGTGTATGGAAGTTCTTCGCGGTTCTCAGTATATTGAAAGTTTATAGAAAATTGTTTTTAATACTTGCCTTAATTACAACCAAGTTGTGTAGTTCATCTCGAAGCTTTAAACGTTTTGAAGCTTTGAAGGTTCTGGCCATCAGTACTTTTTGCATTCACTCACCTAAAGTCATGGTCTCATTGTTTTGGCATCACCCGGAACTTAAGAAAGCTCTCATTTGTCTATCACATACCTCTACCCCTCTTTCGATCACTCTTTCTCTTTTCCCCTTTTCTATTCACCACAAACACATATCTTTGTAGGTATCTTTTTAAGTGTTACGTGTTTAATTTTATTTACTGTTATGTGTTACATACCTACATTTATATTTTACAAAGTACTTAAGCATCATTTGTTTTATGTATTAGTAAAAACCACTTGTAGTTTAATTTATGTTTGTTGTAAACCGTAAGTTAAGAGTAAAACATGAAATTTTATGTGTTTAAGAAAAGTGTAACAAACATTCTTCTGCCGTTGGTAGTAGCCATTTACGTAGCATCTATGAGTGTAATTAGTCAACAGTTGTTGGTCACAATTTCGAAGCACAAACGTAGTGTTCAGCCGAAGATCTTCGATAGCAAAGCTTTCACTGAAAGCTTATTTCTAATTGAGTGAAATCGCCTCTTTGTATTGCACTTCCGAGTCAGAAACGATTTCACGCCAATTACTTGAGCTTTGCGTGAAAGTGTTGCCGAAAGCTTTGATGCGATGAAAGCCCACTTAGTTGCGGCGAAATCGGCAACGATTTTGCTTGAACAAGAACTTTTGCTGGCATCCGAACTTAGTTGCAGTACCCACGTCACCGTTATGCCTAGTCAGACATACAACACATATGTATGTGCACCAACGTCCATAGCGAAAAATTCGCACACCTCATGTTCATGCACAAAACATCACACACATACACATACAACCACTCACTTGTATTTATGCGGTAGTGTGGCAACTGCGACGACACTCACAACGGAACCGGGTACCACCACCAACCAGCACCTTGTGCTATCGTTAGCATATAAACAGTACAACCATACACCACCAGCTGTCTATGTTGCCCTCCCACTCACTCCCACTCTCTATTCACTATCACTTCACCTTTCGTGTGCTCACTCTTACACTATCTGTTTTTAGTAATTGTTTATGCACCCCCCCTTTGCTCTTGTACTGTGTGTAGGTTTAGTAGATTTGTAATAAGTTAAATCAGTTCGTTATTTGGAAGAAAAGAAATCAAGACGAAAAAGTTTTGAGAGAAAAAAATTACGTATGCAGAAAATCAGCTGAAAAATATAATATACAATTTTCGAGTTTTCTTTTTTGCGATAATTGCTAGTGATTTTTACAAAAAGTACAAAATCAAAAAAAAAAAAAATCATTGCAAAAAAATATTTTTCTTCATTTATTAAATTCTGCTTTTTTATTTCTCTCTTTATCTTTCTTTCTTCTCACTCACTTCAACTCACTCTCTGCTACTACTATTCAAATGTGTTGCAACTTTTTCTGCCATACAAAAAAAAATATGGAAAAATCTTTACATTTTTCAAAACATTACAAACACAAAATAAACAACAACAAAACATGAAATGCGAAAACCAAATCAATGTGTGCCACTCGCAAATCCAAAAACAAAAAACATACAACGACTCATTTTCACATACATACATACATACACGAACATCAACTCGTAAACAAAACAAAAAAAAAACAATGTCAACAAACAACAACACCATCGCTCTTCGCCACTTCGCAACATTCGCTAACATCAAAACCAAAAACAAACAAAACAAAATCAACAAATGCCATTCAAACACACAAATCACTCGAATGTAAAATCACACGAATCCATTAAATGAAACCGAAACGACACAACGACGTAACGGTATTGCAAACGGAACTTTTCGAAAACCCCCGAAACGGCGCTCGAAACACCCAAACGCGAATCGATCGCCCACACGCTCCGTAACGTTTCGGCATCGCTCGTTTGGCGCTGTAAACAGGAGGTTACAGCATAAGCGAGGTCCCTTGCGTGGTATTCTATATCTGTACAGGTGTGTGGAACCAAAATATACAACCTAGAATTTACTTTATTAGAAACGATGTTCGCTAGTGTATGTGCTCGTGTACCGAGTAGTACTCGTATGTATGTAGTTTTAAAGCAAGTGCAAAAAACGCAAGACGAAATTAAAAAAATACTCGAGGCTTTTAGAAAATTCAGTTTTGAGTCTTCTTTTAGTTTGGAAGAATATTTATGTTGTTAAAATTTAAGTACTCATTTAGAGCAATTCTTAGTTGGTATTGTAGTTAGTCAAATTGTTGTCTTCAGAACTAAAAAAGAACAAAAAGCTGTAAATAAAATGCCTCGAAGTAGAAACAAAAGTTAACCCAGCCATTCCTTTGTAACATAAATTCCTTCATTAGAAATTTGTTATTCCTTATAAATGTATGTTTTTGTAGCTAGAAAACTAAAAAAATTTAATCAGAAAATTTTTTTTTAATTCCTCGCAATATTTATTTGCATTATTTGAAAACCAGCTCCACAGAGCTTGCGAAAAATTAAAATGTTTTCAGTATTTAAAAAAAAAAAATCCCAACAAAATTTAAAAATTAAATTTTTCGAAATGTGCATTCTTTTTCCATATGCTTCTCATAGTTTGTGGAAATTAAACTTTAAAATTTTTTTAAACTTTTTCCATATTTTTGAAATTAATTTTTTGATGAAAATTTAAATAAATTTTTTGTTTTTTTTTAATTGCTCGCAAAATTTATTTGTATTATTTGGAAAAGAGTTCTAAAGAAGTTTCGAAAACTTAAATTGTTTTCAATTTCGAAAACTTCCCAAAAAATTTTTACAAATTCAATTTTTCGAAATTTGTAACCTTTTTCCAAAAATATTTGTGCAAATTAAACTTTGAAAAATTTTTAAACTTTTTCCATATTTTTTAGATTAATTGTTTGTTTAAAACTCAAATAAATTTAGTTGCTATAAAGAATTAAAACTAGAAAATTAATAGCTAACTGCAAAACTGTTAGATTCTTAAATTTTTCAACACTTAATAATTTAATTTTCTATATTTTTCAAAAAATTTCTAAATTAAATTTTTTCAAAATAAAATTTTTTTTCTAAACTGTTTGGTAAACTTAAAACTTTAAAATCAAAAAAAAAAATGTTGGAAAATTTGTTTAAGTTATTAAATATACAAAATTTGTTTTTCAAAACTGTTAGATTTAAAATTTTCAACGTTTAAAGTATTCCTTTATTTTATTCAGGGACCGAACATAACAGTTATTGATGAAAACTGTCATTGAAAAATTCACTATGAAGGAAACGTTGTACATCTAAGTGATACATACAATCGATTTCTTTTTTCACCGAGAATAAAATTTTAAAATAAAGTTTTATATGATTAAAGATCAGAAAAATCTGTCATTTAAGGAGTAATTAAATAAAAGTAAAAAATAATTGTTAAAGCGATTTTTTCAATAAAAAATTTTCCAAGTTAATGTTTTTTTTTGTTTTTTAGTATCGCTATCGCATTAAAATTGTCAATTTCTTTTACTGTTTTAAAGCATTATCAAAATTTTGTCATTGATAACTTCTTAATTTTTTAGTTTATTTAATTCTAAAACTTTTCAAAACATTCAAAATTCTTTATTAAAAATTTAATTGTTTTCGGTTATTTAAAAATTTTCCAAAAAATTTGTACAAATTAAATTTTTAAAAATCTGCAACCTTTTTCATAATTTCCAAAAAAATTGCAAATTAAACTTTTTTTTTAACTTTTTCCATATTTTTTTAGTTAAGTTCTGGTTTAAAACCTAAATAAATTTATTAAAATTAATTAAAATTAAAAAAATTATCATTTTCTTTTAATGTTTTAAAAGTATTTTCAAAATTATGGCGCTGATAGATTTTTAATTGTTTTGTNAAACTTTTTCCATATTTATTTAGTTAAGTTCTGGTTTAAAACCTAAATAAATTTATTAGCTAGCAAAAAAATTAAAATTAAAAAAATTATCATTTTCTTTTAATGTGTTAAAAGTATTTTCAAAATTATGGCGCTGATAGATTTTTAATTGTTTTGTGTATTTAATTTTAAAATATTTCAAAATATTTAAAAAACCTTTAATGTTTCCCTTTTGGAAAACATAATTTTGCAGAAAACACTTTGATAAACATTCAATTAGAATTAATTTGTGAGACAGCATTTTTATTATTAAAAAAAAAATCAGAATTTTAAGCATTCCTATTGTAAAATGATTTTGCCAAAAACTGTTAGATCTCTTCCGGTATTTTTAAATATACGAAAATCACCAAGAAAATGCCGTTGTATGTATTACCCATCGCTTAACAAACCCAACCCTCATCCAGTTGTATGATTCTGTGAAGATTACTAGACGTTGCATTAAAAACCGTTTAAAGTAAATCTCTTACGTAGCAAAAAATACAAAAAAAAATATCCCACAANACAGAAAACACTTTGATAAACATTCAATTAGAATTAATTTGATAGACGGCATTTTTATTATTAAAAAAAATCAGAGTTTTAAGCATTCCTATTGTAAAATGATTTTGCCAAAAACTGTTAGATCTCCTCCGGTATTTTTAAATATACGAAAATCACAAAGAAAATGCCGTTGTATGTATTACCCATCGCTTAACAAACCCAACCCTCATCCAGTTGTATGATTCTGTGAAGATTACTAGACGTTGCATCAAACCGTGTAAAGTAAATCTCTTACGTAGCAAAAAATACAAAAAAAAATATCCCACAAATTGTAGTTAAAAAGAAGTTATAAAGTAATTTAAGCTCGTGATTTGGAGGCGCCGGTAAGTGGAGATGCTTGATTGTCCAAAGCATCGCTTCACTCTTAGCGCCAATCTACCGCTTAGCGGCGCCCTCATGCCACCCCATCGAGTCCATATGTGTGTATGTAGTTGTAGTGCCTCATCGATCGAGTATTTAGTAGCTTTGGTAAATGTATTTTTCATTTTTTCCATTTGAATTCATTTTCTTCGTACGCCATTCTTTCCTAATGAATCTCTTTTATTTTCATATTCTCTCACCTCTACCCCACATTTTTCCAATATTACGTTGTCACCTGCCCCTCATCGTTCTGCATCGACCACCTCATCATAAATGGCCTATGATTTTTCGCTCCCTTCGCCTCGATTCCAATCGTGTCGGCGCCAATCCTTACTTTCGAATGCAATTCTGCCACCTGTGCGCCTGCGATTTTACTCTGCGTGCGCATATGCACAACGCACACGCGTACACACACGCACAAAGATTTCAAACCCACCAAAGCGTTGGTTTCCAAGCCGCCCAACCGTCTCTCTTACGCCTGTCAGCCGAGCGACTTCAAGTGCGTCTCGCATCCGCACACCTGCATCAAGGCTTCCATGGTTTGCGACGGCATACACGACTGTACCGACCACTCGGACGAGTTCAACTGCACGCCACCTCCAGCACCGACGCAGCAACAGACGTCGCTTAGTACCTCGGGTGCAGTGCCGTCATCGACGCCAACAGAAACACCGATCCCGACACCGCTAGCTGCGCCGCCGTCGCCGAAGCCATCGCACAAGCCGAGCTACAAGCGCTGGAAGAAGCGCCACAGCAGTCACAAAGAGCGGCGCAACAATCACACGCACTCACACAAACGCAAGCAGCGGCTGCGCCTGAAAAAACGACGCCACCTGTTGCCAACGCCCATTTTCCGCCCACTCGGTTTGTTTCGAATTACTGTGTGATTTTTCGTTTTATGTTGCGCACCTAAATTTGGATTTTTCTTTATTTTCTGGAAATTCCAACACAACCTTATTTCGACATTTTTGTTTTTAATTTCCACACTTTTTTGCCAATTTTCGGTTCTTTAATTTTCCTTTGTTTTCACTTTGACAAATGAAATAGTAGGAAATATGTATGCAAACGAGAAGACATCACAAATATGTACTACACATACTTACATATATCAAAGTAGATCATAGAAATGCATTTAGAATTAACTCAACTTGAAGTAGGTGGTTCCCTCTGGATAAAATAGAAATTAACTCGAGTGCTCCAGTAGTTATCCCGAAGGCCGAAATCGGTTGTAAGTAGATTTGTTTTGGTACTTCCTTCCCTACAGCACTCCAAGGAACCATGGAAAATTCACGAAGCAAGGCAAACGCAGACCCAACTCACCATATACCCGAACACCCCAAGAACACAAAAGCCGATGTTAGTTTATACGTGTTTTAAAGATTTTTGATAATGAATATTTTAATTTTAACACAACAAAGTCAAAAAATACGAGCCTGTTTCAAGTTTTTTTATAACAATTCCTGAGAATCAATCTTTATTTTTCACTTCTAAAAATCAAGTTTCCTAGAGACTTAGAAATCATAAATTATTCATTTTGTATTCGGAATAATGACTTGAGGGTTCCTGAATTTTTTTTTGTGTTTTTTTTTTTTTTGTTTTTAATACTAAATCTGGCCAACATTCCATCACCAGTAAGCAAATTCTGCAGAAAGTTATAAAGAGATTCCGCCCCCAGACGATTTGTATAAATTTTAGCTTTCACTTTTTTCATCGAATCACGTTCTCGAATTGTACTATATCTATAAATAATATCTTAATGGAACACAACTGTAAATACTCTATAGCCTTAAGGTCACAAATTTCCAAGATATACAAATAAATACAAATAATTTGTAAGTACAAAATTTTTATATTTTACAAGAAATCAATCAGAACGAGTGTGATGCATATTTGCTTAGGCGACAAGACGACATGCCGACAGTTAATTAAATTTTTTTTATGGAAACTGATCTCTTGCTAATCTGATATGTTTTCGGGCGACATGACGACAAAGCAACAGGGCATTAAGGCAACAAGCGACAGTGCAGCATGGCGACACATCAACAAGACAAAAGTTATAGCCTGGTAGAGTATATAGTGCGTGCTGAAGCTATTGAAACTATGCGCACAAGACGACAAAGCAACAGCGCGACAGGACCGCAAGGAGACAAAATGACTTAACGTAACTACGCTTCTGAATAATAAAAGTGCATCGCATTCGTTCTGTAAAAAACCCACTGTATATTAGATAAAATCGGGCACGTAAGTCTATTTATTTACAAACGTACACATGTTTGTTTTTATGTATTTATGTCGTAGTAGTAGTTACAAATGTATGTATGTTTATGTGCACTATAATGTCTTTAGTATTATTGACTTAGATACATGTATAATATACATATATATATATGTATGTATGTATATATGTGTACAGGGTGTCCTAGACCACTCGTCCACCCCCTCTAAAATGAAGAGAAATGTTTTTTTTTTTATTGAAAAACGCAAAATTAGACCTACCAAATCGGTGGTATCTTTTGGTGGTGTGACCGATTTCCGATTTCGACCGAAAGTGGTTTATGCTGACCGGATGTCTTTCTTTTTTTGTATGGGATATACGCGTTTTTACCAAAGAATCGGATGCTGCGCATAAAAGTACATAACTTTCGTGGGAAACTTTTTTCTGGAATGGACTTCCGGTTTGTTTAACTCACTTTCGGTCTAAACCGGAAGTCGGTAATACCACCAAACTATTGAAATTCCCGAATGTGGTAGGTCAAATTTTTGCGTTTTTCAATTAAAAAAAAAAAAACAATTCCCCCTATTTTAGAGGGGGTAGACGGGTGGTCTAAGACACCCTGCACAAGTTTGCATAATTTGTACGTACATTTATACAAAAATATGTAAGTTTGTAGGTAGTTTGTATGTATGTAAATACTCACACGCACATTCACGACTACCTGACAACTAGCTCACATACATACCTTACTGCCATCACCTGCTCATTGCTCATTGCCCACCACCACTACATACACATACAGAACATCCGTTCTCTGCATGCAATTTTACGTATCATACATACATTACCCCCACGCAAATATACAGATATGTATAACATTTTGCATGCGGTGTGCTACATTATCCATCAAATTTTGTATTTGGCCTTCTAACCACACCACTACAACCACCACCATTCAAGGGTCATGAAAAAATCCGTACCAAAATTTTGTATTAAAAACTGCACTACGCAATTTTTCTAAATTTTAATAAAATTTTTTTATTAATTTTTTTTTTATAAAAATCTCTTATTTGGTTTACTCTTTTTGCTTTGGCTTTTGAGTTTTACTCTTTTTTGGAAATTTCTTGCTGTTGTTAATTGTGCACAATAAGTCTGATTTTATTATTTTTGTTACTCCATTTGGATTGGTAGTAGTTAATTTCTCCTCTTCCATATATCCTTTCGATTGCCCGCTCACCATGCCACACACCACCTAGTCTTCTCTCATTTGTAAAGTTTGTATTTTTGTATAATTTTTATTAGTTATTAAAAAAAAAATGAAAATGTTGAATTTATGTTCGAAACGAATCGATTTTTCAAAATTTTGCTAATCTTTGTATTTTCTCTACTTCTCCTCCCACTACCCCACCTCCAAAATTTATCCCATCCATCCACTACCACAACAACAAAATCGAATATTCGATTTATTGACTCGACATCTGTTTGTCATCCATGTCGTTGCTACTTTGTGTGTTCGTTCAAAATGCAAACTCGAAAACATCTCAAAAACAACTCGCAAATGCGCAAAAACAAAATTGGTCAACAACCTCAAATTATTGTCATCAAATTGTTATCGATAACACATCGCCAATCGCCTTACTCGCCAATCGCCTTACTCGCCACTTGTTCATCGTCAAACATATCGACTTGTAACTCATTTTCAAAATTAAAACAAAAAAAAAAACAATCAAATAATCGCAATATTCGAAACAAAAAACCATCAATCCAAAAAACTGCTGCGCAACAAATATAATTGTGTACGTTTATGTGTGCGTGCTTTGCTTTTGGCCTGTGAATTGGCGTTGCCACCTGTTTTGGGCACGCGTCTTTCGTATTCATTCACATAATCACTTGGTACGCTGATTGTCACCACGATTTGACTGATTTCTAACCACCGTAATTCAATATCGATACATTCCAATATCGATAACGAATTCGTGCACACACCAATAATCTTCGTTACGCACACAATCACAATAGCAGCGGAAGTGCCACAATTCCGTCAACCAGCCATACCACAACCCCNTTGATTTCTAACCACCGTAATTCAATATCGATACATTCCAATATCGATAACGAATTCGTGCACACACCAATAATCTCGTTACGCACACAATCAAAATAGCAGCGGAAGTGCCACAATTCCGTCAACCAGCCATACCACAACCCCTACCGGATCTTCCCACTCCACCACCGCCGCAGCAGTCACGCCCACGCGAACTGAGCCTGAAACTGGACCAACAGTCGTCGCAACTACGCGTCGGTGAGTCTACAGAGGTCGAGTGTTACTCGTCAGACAGCAGTTACACGGACGTCATATGGGAACGCGCTGATGGCTCACCACTACCGCCAAACATACAGGTATGCAGTGCTACCGCCAATGGTTTCTTGACGTCCACAGCGCTTTAAACGTCTAATATTACTCTTACTACCTCTTAGCAAATCGGCAACAGGCTCATCATTTCTCATGTATCCGCTTCGGATGCGGGCAACTATGTCTGCAAGTGCAAGACGGACGAGGGTGATCTATACACCACCAGCTACGAGCTAGGCATCGAAGAGTGGCCGCATGAGTGGAAACGCCCAAAGTTGGTGCACGCCAACGTCGGCTCATCAGCACAGCTGAACTGTGATGCCGAACTGCCTGGCAGCTATCGCTGGTCGCGTCAGTATGGGCAAATGCAAGCCGACCGAGATCTATTCAATGTAAGTTCCTNATCAGCACAGCTGAACTGTGATGCCGAACTGCCTGGCAGCTATCGCTGGTCGCGTCAGTATGGGCAAATGCAAGCCGACCGAGATCTATTCAATGTAAGTTCCTCAAATTTTCACCCATAGTTCCTTTTTTTATCACTTCCATCTTCTGCTTCCAGGAGCGCCTCGAATTGCAGGATGTGCAGGCCAATGATGCCGGCACTTATATCTGCACGTCAAGCACACCCGATGGGCAGTCGGTTGACTATCCCACCATCTTAGTCGTTACCGGCGCCATTCCTCAGTTCCACCAGGAACCCATTAGCTACATGTCGTTCCCAACGCTGCCCGAATCATACATCAAATTCAACTTCGACATCACATTCCGACCCGAACAGGGCAACGGTCTGCTGCTGTTCAACGGCCAGAAACGCGGTAGCGGTGACTACATCTCGCTCTCATTGAATGACCGTTATCCTGAGTTCCGCTTCGACTTCGATGGCAAGCCGATGGTTATACGCGCCGAACGTCCAGTCTCACTCAACGAATGGCATACCATACGCGTGAATCGTTTCCGTCGTGACGGCTACATTCAAGTCGATGACCAACATCCAGTTGCATTCCCCACACTGGCGCAGATATCTCCGCTTGATTTGATCGAAGATCTGTACCTTGGTGGCGTGCCCAACTGGGAAATGCTGCCACTCGATGCCGTCGATAAACAAATCGGTTTCGTTGGTTGCATCAGCCGCCTGTCACTCCAGGGCACCATTGTCGAGTTGATGAAAGAGGCCAAACTGAAAGAAGGCGTCACAGCCTGTCGTCCGTGCCAGCAGAACCCGTGTCAAAATGGCGGCATCTGCCTTGAGAGTCAAACTGAAATGGCGTATACCTGCATTTGCCAGCAGGGCTGGACTGGGCACAACTGCGGCGTCGAAGGCACTCAGTGCACACCGGGTATTTGCGGAAGTGGCCGCTGCGAGAACACCGAAACCGGCATGGAATGCCTTTGTCCATTGAACAAAACCGGTGACCGTTGCCAGTACATTGAGCACCTGAATGAGAACAGTTTGGCGTTCAAGCTCAATAGCTATGCCGCCTATCCGTAAGTAGATTTTGATTTGGCTCGGATATACTCTTTTACCTTGATTTCATTCCACTTCCTTAGCACACCACGCGCCTCAAAACTTAATGTGAAATTCAAGGTACGCCCGAACTCGCTGCAGGACGCTGTACTCCTCTACGCTGCAGAATCGAAATTGCCCAGCGGCGACTTCATCGCCGTGCTGCTGCACGACAAGCACGTAGAACTGGTAATCAATACTGGCGCGCGGCTGAACCCTGTGTTGGTGCGCTCGCAGAATCCACTGCCAATAAACAAGTGGACCGAAATCGAGGTGTCACGCCGCTTTGGCGAAGGCATTCTTCGTGTCGGCAATGAGCCGGAGCAACGCGCAAAGGCGACAAAGTTGGCGCGCATGTTGTACATTAAGACACCGCTATACCTTGGCGGCTACGACCACGAAAATATAAAACTCAATCGGGACGTAAATGTCACACAAGGCTTCGACGGCTGCATCTCGGGCGTAAGTTGGAATTAGTTTTAATATTCGGTTTGTTCTTTTTTAATATCGTACATTCTCCGCAGTTGTTCGAGGGCCAACGCCAGATTAATCTTATTGCCGACATCCATGACGCCGCGAACATACAAAACTGTGGCGAAATCAATGAGGTCCATCAAAACGAAGCGTTCGACAACTACGAACACGAAGCAACGAATATTCAGAAAGCCACAGGCCAACCAATCGAAGCGCATAGCGAGAACGACGAGCAAAGAGTAGACGCATGCGCAAGCGATCCATGCGAGAATGGCGGCACTTGTCATGTGCACGATGCCGAAGCCGTATGCGCGTGCCCTGTTGGCTACACCGGCAAACATTGCGAAGATCGTAAGTACACGAGTAGACAAAAATTGCGCCTTTAAACTAACCACTGCCCGCTGTACCGCTCTTACTTGTAGACATAACCATCGAATACGATGCCAATTTCCATGGAAACGGCTACTTGGAGGTGGATCGCAATCAATTCAACACCGAGATCGAGCAAAAATACTCATTCGCGGCAATGGTCTTCTCCACAACCGATCCAAATGGCTTGCTTCTTTGGTGGGGCCAAAAGAAGGACGAGGAATACACCGGCCAGGACTTTATGGCGCTCGCCATTGTCGATGGCACTGTGGAATTCTCTTTCCGTCTCAACGGCGAGGAGACCGTCATACGCAATCCGGACAAACGCATCGATGATGGCCGTCGCCACATCGTACTGATCAAACGTACGGACAACACTGCCATACTGGAGTTGGACCATCTGCTGGACGCGGGAGAAACACGTCCGACCGGCAAGGACAAGATGAGCCTGCCGGGACATGTGTTCGTTGGTAAGTTTCCGGGTGCGAAGCATTAAATTACCGCGTACTGAACGACCGGTTTGTTTCATTTGTATTTTTTAGGAGGTGCGCCAGACGTTGCCAAATTCACGGGCGGCCGCTACACCAAGAACTTCAACGGCTGCGTGCGCGTCGTGGAAGGTGATGCGCATGGCTTAATACAACTGGGCACAGCGGCTATTAGCGGCGAGAATGTCGACACGTGTCCGCAGTAAGTAGACCCCAAAAAGTATAGGACTAATTATTAGTTAGTGGTTAAGTGTTTGGCTGTAAGCTTATTAAAATCGTAAGTCTCGCAAGTGCAGATATGTTTTAAGATAAGTGATTTGTATTCCCCCAACACATGCTGCTCCGATACGCCTGGAACTGCAGCAGTTGGTATCCGTCTAGCTTAGTTTATCACGACATAGATTTCATGGACTCTCGTTTCGATCCGTCGCTCTTCGACGAGATCGACCAACCGCCACCGGTGCATATACTCTATCCGCGTCCCACCCACCATCCATACTACGGCAACAGTGCACCGAACGCCTACTCGAGGGCGAGCAGCGTGCAATTGGTGTGGGGATGGAGTTGGCGGGTTTGCTCTCTGCGCTGTGGCGACTGGATCTTGGCGCTGACAATGGCTCTAATGGCTATCTCACAAGCATGCTTGGGGTGCCTGTGCCGAAGCGAAACTTTGGAAGAAAAACGGAGGCACATAGCAAATGGTAGAAGGAAATAATCGTTATCAATGTATTCTTGTTGAAATATAAGCGTTTTCTTTTGACCCAAAGTAATTTTTAACATAACATTTGGTCTATTAAATTTTTCGAATAAGTCTGAAGAGTTGAAATTATAATTAAAAGTAGTTATTTTTAAGGGTTAGAATTTGTGCCTAAAAAGCGAGTATGGGCGTGAGGTTAGAATAAGCGATACTCCGAAAGCTCGACAACTACACACATACATCCATTCAACATTATGCTTGTATATAACTAACGTACTCACACAAATATTCATGCGCTTAGCAGTTAGCGAAAAAATAATAGTTATAAGAACAAAAAGCATACATCGCACGTTGAGAATATTCACGCCGTTGGCTTTTGTTGTTGGATATGATAGCTAGCTAATGTATAGGTATATTAAAGAATAAAATTCATACTATTAATTCTTACTTAAAAAGTAAATACAACATAATTATTGTATGTACATACTTAGATGTATTTATTAGAAAAATGTGCTAAAGGTTTCTATGAACAAAATTTGAGAATTGCCGTAAAAAGCAATGCAAATAGGATAAGCAAAAAATGTTGCTGCTTAAAAATTCAAACTATATTAAAATTATTTTTAATTAAAAGCGGATTTTAAAATTTGCAAAATTCTATAAACAAAAAATACACATAACATAACAGGGATATTGCAAGTTAAAATGTTTTACAAAAATATTTTCCATTATATTTATGATAAGTCTCTGAACACACCAGAGCACAAAATTCATCTTAAATGCTAGCAATAGGTCTAAACGTGCTGATGAGTTAATTTTGTACTTATTCCGAATTGGTGCTAAGTCTCCCACCACTCACTGAACCGGAAAATTTGTTAGGTAAAATTGCTCTGTCTGATCAGTTTAAAGGACTTGTAATTCGCAGAAATATCGCTACCTGTTTATAGTTGTTTTAAAGGCAATACAGATTTCCAGAAATGATAATTAGCACATTTAAGAGCAATATTTCCAACTTTTCAATGCAATTTATTAGAGCAATAGAAGCCAAATCAAAGATTTTTAAATTTTTGTCTGTCTGTCTGTATGTTTGTACGCTCATCACTCGAAAACGAATGCAGGGAATCGAACGCAGTTATTACCGATGTATTACTAGAGGTCTAACTTAAAATATGGAAGGGAAAAAATTGGAGAGTTGCTACCTATTTGAAAATAGCTGTTCAAGTAAATTGAAAAGATAAAGAAAACATTGCAATGTGGGTGTCAAAAGAAAGGGGGTTTAGAAGGTTTAAAGGTGAAAATATGTTTGTGAAGGATTGCCACCTGTTTGAAATTTTAATTTAATTTGATTGAAGAGATAAATTGAACATTGCAATAAGGGTACCAAACTGACAAGGTTTGGGAAAGTTTACTGCAGTAAAATAAAACACCACAAAAATACTTTTAAGGCGCAGTAAAGCACGATGGGTATTTGCTAGTTTTGAATTATATATTTTAATATTTGTAATGAATTATTTTTCGGACTTAAATTGTTCAGTTATTAAAAATAAATTAATCTCAAAATTTAAAATTAAGTTAAAAAAGAGAAGTAACAAACAATCGGTAACGCTTCCGAAAATTCATTCGCTGTGCCAACAGGAATTATTTTCTCAATTTGAAAACCCTTTTCGAAATATATTGCATTGCCACGTCTGCTTCATAAATCTCTTTGCCCACTGATTTTCATTAGCGGTCAACCATTCCGCCTGAAATACTCTGCACCGGCTGAGAAGGTGAATTCGTAGAAATCTTATTTTAAAAAGAATTACTTCTGCGTTACGTTGAAGCCAGCTTTTATAGGTCTGAGCCGTTGCTCAATATTTTTGAATGCTTGAAGTAATCGCTTAAATAGTATGAGGAAGTAATAAGTATTCATTTCATTAAGCGCATGAAGAATATACACCGGCGGCACTCGAAATTTATGAAGAAAGGCAATGAGCTTATCCAAACCTGGAGTTAATGAAAATAAAAAAACAAAAAACATTGAAAGAGCACTAAGTTTAACATTATTGATTGAATCCAAATGCGCACAAGATGTTAGTCAATTTTATATTTAATTTATATTTTCTGGTTATAAATAATTATTAAGAACTTATAAGCAGCCTATAAAGTTGTATATATGTATGTATGTATTTAAGTTATGAAAGTAAGTCAATTGAAAATAGTCGCAAAATTAAATTAGAATAAAATGCAAAAAAGTTAAAGATACCCAGTAAACAAATTCAGGAGCTAAAAGCCGTTCGAAAGTGTTCTGCTTTCGCTGCCCATGGGCGTGCTTTCAGAAGGGCTTTTGTCGAAGTTCTACTAAAGCTGTAATTTTTCTTCTGGGCATAAACAAAAAATGTTATTTAAACCGCCTCAGATCGACTGGTTTCAAGCTAAGCAATGCATTTTCTAAGTTTCTCCAGCCAGTCGAAAATAAAACATGAAACTATAGAAAATATTATCCACAAATAACTGCATTAAAGCTGCTAAATACTTACAACAGAATACTTATATACAAATGTATATAAACACAAATAATCTATATTGGAACGTAAGCAAATTATTATAGTCAAATATTCAGCATTAAATAGCAAAAATATTATAAATATTATAAACAATTTAAAATGTTTAAATACTATTCTGATTATGTGCTGTGAACGAGATCAATAAGTAATTTGTAAATTTTGCGAAAAGATGAGGTTAATAGCGCGTTGTTAGTGAGAATTTTCTTATAAACTAATACCGATTTTTTTTTTTTTTTTAAATGAGTGTGAAGCTTTTTGAGTGACCACAGTGACGAACTCTCAGTTCGCNATGAGGTTAATAGCCCGTTGTTAGTGTGAGAAATGTATGCTAGCAAAAGAGAGAAGCAAGGGAAACAAAATAGTACTGAATATTTTTGTTTTTTTTTTAATGAGTGTGAAGCTTTTTGAGTGACCACAGTGACGAACTCTCAGTTCGCAGTTAGAATGTTTTTGGTTGCTCGTAGAGTTAATTTAATTTTATCAAAAATATTTATTTTTATACCCGAGCGCACTCGTCCGTCCGTCTCCGAACACGTTAACTCGAGTAAGACCGAAACTTGGTACGCGTACTTCCTCTGCGCTAAGCACGGATGTTATTGAAAATGGGAAAAATCGGGCAATAACCACACCTACCTCCCATGTAACGGTAGTTTGCAGAAATACATAAAATTTATATTTACAATATCTTTATGAAAATAAATAATATGTATTATAAATTTTTGGAAAATAGCCAAGCTTATCTCGGTAACCGGCTAAATTATTTCATTAAAGGCAAACCGGTTAGAAAATTCTGTATTCGTTTTTTAAGACAAAAAAGGCCCATCCTTTGTACTTTGAAGCTTTGTCAAGGAAATGGTTGCGCTGAAAATCAGCTAAATAAAATAAGAATATTTTTTGGAAGAAATGAAATTACCATCGGTCCAACTGAGAATAATATCTTATCCGTTCCCGTACTCCAGGATTTATTCAGAAATCGTCCGGACGGCAGTGATGGCAGGAGTAAAGAAAATTCGCTACATGCAGGGACTTTCGGTTAGAAATTTTGTGCATAGAGAAAAGGGGCCAGATTTATTATATGAAGCTAAATGTAGAGCATTTTTGACAAAATGTAAATTTACAAAAAAATTTTTAATTGCATAGTGCCAATACGGATACAGAAAGGGTGTTTCCAATTTTGGCTGATGTGCGCTTGAAAAGGCGAAATAAGTTGGGTCATGTCAATTTGTATAAAACGCACGTATTTACAAAGTGAAAATGTTGATTGCAATTCTTTTAAGTGTACACCATCTCACTTCGAAAAAATTAAATCTTTTGAACTGTACTAAAATGTAACTAAATGTAGAAACAAATGTATACACATTTCCATGAAATTATTTTAATTGTATGGAATAACATGTGCATTATTTATTTATTTATTTATTTTACATCTCATGTATGTACATGTTCTTATGTACATGTTATTTTCTAATTTATGTAAAGTGTTTTTAATTGAAAAATAAGTAGGGAAAATTTGGGGAATTTTAAAGAACGAAGTAGGGAAATAAAAAAAAAAATTCTGGCATCACTGCCGGAAGATAGTGCCGAAAATATTATCAATATGTGTACGGGAATGACTACGCATTATTTCTGACTAAATCCTGGGGACTGTAAATGTTTGAAATAAGGAAAAACCACCACATTTAACGGTAGTTTTCAGAAAGGTGAAAAAGCGTCATTTAACACGTGCGCCGGTATTTAATGCTCGGCTGCGCCCGAACTTAGACTTACTTATTTACTTGTTATATTCTATTTTTAAATTTTAAACTTTTTAATTTTTACAAATTTTTGTTCTCGTTTTTTAACTTTTCATTTTAATGTTCCCACTTCCACAGAGTCGAAGACGAATCTCTTGGCACCGAACCACCAGTCGTTTGAACTTAGCTTTTAAATAAAATATTCTTATATAAATAATTTTTTTTTATAAATATGATTTGTTCTTAAGTTACAACACGAAACCATACACAAACACACACAAACACACACACACACAAACGTGACCAATTGAGTGAAGTCGATGGCAAGCAACAACAACAACAACAAAGGTGTAGTTTAAATTTTAACTTAAGCGCACTAAGTAACAACAATACAACAAAGTTAATTTTAATGAAACTTGTGTCATATATGTATTTTGCAATAATTTCTTAATTTGTAAGCTTAACCTTTTCGAAAAGAAACTGATTCCAAATACCAAAAAATCAACAACTTTCAAAAACTGCCCAACGCCGCAACTCATTTTTTTCCACTGCGTTGATTTTGTTTGTGCAAAATTCTGTGACGTACAAGCGGGAATTTATTTTTTAGTTTTAATTAACTTAAAGTTAAAAACACAAAAAAAATATAAAAATAATAATAATAATAAACAAAACTAATGCGAGCAAAGTTAGATGTAAATGCATATCATTTACGCATACGAAAAAGAAAACATAAACAAAACAAAAATAGCCATTTGATTTTAATACTTTCACAAAAAAAGTTTCACAGTTGATTGAGTACAGTTTCGAAAGAACTTAGAAAGTCAAAATTTTAAAATCATTCATCACTCTATGAAGGTTTTATTTACAAATTCAATGCTCAAATTATTTTTTATAATTATTCCATAGGGAATTTTAGTTAAAAAGTCGTAGTTATTGAAAAATGCGCGCCAGTCTAATATTAAATAATACTAAACAAATTTCTATGTAATAATTATTTTTTCTACTTATATTTGTATGTAAAAGAAAACGTAAAAAAAAACACAAAACAAAAACTCATAAAATTACCGTTATGTATGACAAGTTATTGTATAAAGCGTTAATAAGTAAATAAATAAATAATTAATATTTAAATATATAAATAATAATGAAATGATGAACAGCGACTAAAAAATAAACGAAAAAACAATTGCAAAGCAATGTGCAAAAATAAAAATTGTTTTATTTGCGGAAAAGACAGAAACGATGATTAGAATTTGAGCTCTGCAATTTTCTCATACGCAAATCCACTACCAATAAAACAGTTTGCGCACCAGAAATGCAGACTTTACAGCGGATTATATGAAAAAATGTCACATTTTCAACTCGACTTTTTTCTATGTTCCGAACGAAAACTGAATTTTTTATGAATTGGACTTGATTCTTTGGCCTTTTGCGTATTGAAAACCAGGTGTAAATCTTTCAAAACCCTTATCGTTTTCAAATAAAAAATTTCCAAAAGTGGTCTGGAGGAGCATAATCACAACGATAATTTCGATGCTTTTTATCGCCCCATAACTTACGTTTTGGCCTCTAATGACGTCAAATTTCCTGCGCTTTCCGGAAATATACCGTTTTTGTTGCAGAAATTATAAATTCCAGTTTTATTTAGAAAAAACGTGAAAAATCGAGATTTTCTTTTTCAAAAAGCGTTCGCCATTCAAAAAGCTTTAGAGCGATTTTCGAAAAAGCTCTCTCAATCGATGCGCCGAAGCTTGTAGATTCGAATAGATCCAAAAACTTTTCTAAACGGACCACCTAAACGCAGTAAAATCCGCATTTCCGGTGCGCAAAGTGAATGACCGGAAGTAACGGTGCTTTGGAAAAGTCTTCATGAGCTGCGGATTATATGGAAAAATGTCACATTTTCAACTCGACTTTTTTCTATGTTCCGAATGAAAACAGAATTTTTTATGAATTGCACTTGATTCTTTGGCCTTTTGTGTATTGAAAACCAGGTGTAAATCTTTCAAAACCCTTATCGTTTTCAAATAAAAAATTTCCAAAAGTGGTCTGGAGGAGCATATTCACAACGATAATTTCGATGCTTTTTATCGCCCGATAACTTTCGTTTTGGCCTCCAATGACGTCAAATTTCCTGCGCTTTCCGGAAATATACCGTTTATGTTGCAAAAATTATAAATGCCAGTTCTATTTAGAAAAAACGTGAAAAATCGAGATTTTCTTTTTCAAAAAGCGTTCGCCATTCAAAAAGCTTAGAGCGATTATAAAAAATGCTGTCTTAGTCGATGCGCCGAATCTAAATGCTTGTGAATATGCTCCTCTACACCATATTTCGTAAGGTTTTTGAAACCTGTAAGCGTTTTGAAAGTTTTAAAACTGGTTTTGAATACCTCAAAGTCCAGAGAACCAAGTCCAATTTTTCTAAATAAAATTGACATTTATAATTTTTCTAACAAAAACAGTATATTTCCGGAAAGCTCAAGGAATTTGACGTCATTCGAGGCCACAACGAAAGTTATCGGGCGATAAAAAGTATCGAAATTATCGTTGTGAACATGCTCCTCCAGACCACTTTTAGACATTTTTTGTCTGAAACCTCTAAGGGTTTTGAAAGATTTAAACCTGGGTTTCAATACGCAAAAGGCCAGAGAATCAATCCCAATTCATAAAAAATTCAGTTTTTATTCGGAACATAGGAAAAAGTCGAGTCGAAAACGTGACATTTTTTCATATAATCCGCAGGTCATGAAGACTTTTCAAAAGCACCGTTACTTCCGGTAATTCACTTTGCGCACCGGAAATGCAGATTTTACTGCGTTTAGGTGGTCCTTTTAGAAAAGTTTTTGGATCTATTCGAATCTACAAGTTTCGGCGCATCGATTGAAGGAGCTTTTACGAAAATCGCTCTAAAGGTTTTTGAATGGCGAACGCTTTTTGAAAAAGAAAATCTCGATTTTTCGCGTTTTTTCTAAATAAAACTGACATTTATGATTTTTGCAACAAAAACGGTATATTTCCGGGAAGCGCAGGAAATTTGACGTCATTAGAGGCCAAAACGAAAGTTATGGGGCGATAAAAAGCATCGAAATTATCGTTGTGAATATGCTCCTCCAGACCACATTTGGAAATTTTTTATTTGAAAACGATAAGGGTTTTGAAAGATTTACACCTGGTTTTCAATACACAAAAGGCCAAAGAATCAAGTCCAATTCATAAAAAATTCAGTTTTCATTCGGAACATAGAA